ATAATTTCATAAAAACCCGAGATGTGAGGTTCACTACTTAATTATACAAAAAGGGCGAATGTTATTGATTTATTTAAGCACCATTTCGAAAATAATTATATTAATAAAAATATTATCTATATTATTGTGTACACGTGCGCGTGACACAACTCCGCATTTTTTTTAAAAAAAATAATAATATAATTTATAACACGAATATACGTGTTCGATTCAAAGAAGGGTCTTTAATTACAAACAATCTAAATAGAAGCGGTAACAAAAAAAATCGGGCAAATAAAAATGTAAAATCGAGATAATTAAGCCAAGAATAAAAACAGTTAAGCGACCGTGCTAGAACCACGGAATTCGGAAATGCCTAACACCTTCTTCCGGATTAACAGAATTCCTTACTCAGGATTTCTGGTTCGCAGAATAACCAAACAGAGTTATATTCTCCTCGATTCAGGGATTAAACCGGTGACTTTGGACGCCTTAAAATTCCCAGGTGGCGACTCTGAAACAATTAAATAAATCCTGTTTCGACTGTCCTTCAATTGGAGAAAACTCCCTAAGCGCCCCGCGGGTGCGGAAAAAGGAGGTGCGACACCCGACAGCTAAAGAGCCACGAAAAAATTATCCTACCACCGATCTCGAGTTCGCAACTGTAACTTTTGCCTTGAAAATATGACGTCACTACTTGTATGGTGAACATTGTGACACTTACACAGATCATAAGAATTTATACTTTGCTTTCAGAAACAACTATCACGAAACTATAGAACTAACGAATGAATTAGTAATAGAAAAAGTCTAAAAATGTTGTATTATCTCTATCAAAGATGTGTATGTACCAGTAACTAAGATTAGGACTCCCATTAGCACAGTCAAGCCTATTATGACCAGCTCAAATCCAAGCTTCTTGTAAGTGCCCGAAATCTTCAAGTAGCACAAGCATGGTAGCAAAATTGAAGCTGTGACACTAAGAAATGCTCCAACTAGTGACATGAGATAGCCAAAGAAGGGTATAGCCAGAGCTATAATGACACTGCTCACAACCAAGGTGGTCCTGGTCAGGGGACTAAATGATGATGATCCTTCATCGTTGTAAGACTGGAAATGTTCCTCGAGTCTGTTGACAATTGGTGTCATCATTAGTGCATACTTGGCAATTGGACTGACCAAGGCAGTGTATATGGCCAATTTTGAGCTAAACTTTTCAGTTGGAAGGTTCAAGGTAATCTGTGTCTCCACGTCCGAGCCAAACATTGAGTACCCCATAGCTGCTATCGATGCATAGGTTGTGGTAGCGAACAGAAAGCACAGAAGCATTACCTGCAATAAAACTACCAAAAATTAGCATCCGTAGGATGGAAAATCGCCTATACACATATGATGGTCTATTCTGTAATATGTTACCTTAGAAAATTGCTTCTGATTTTTCATTGAGGTGTACAGAGTTGGGAAAACAGGATGTCCACAATAGCAGAAGGCATATAAGCTAAAAGATGTAGGGATTGCTCCCCAATTCACAAGTATTCCCTTTTTGTTAAATCCAATACCATCATACATTGCTGCCCAGAAAATCGAACCAATTATAACGAGAGAAGCTAAAACTGCAGAGGCTGATACATATGCAAGAATGCTCATGTTCTTTAATAATACGGTTGGCAATATAACAAGAGCAACAATCAAGACAAAGCTTTGTTTCCCACCAAAACTATGTCCCCAAAATCCAAAGTTCACCTCCGGTAATAGATTATGCAAGTTGTCCCCAGCAAGAATTAAAAAACCAGTCGCGACCAAGTAAAGCTCTAGATTCATAAAAACCGCAACCAGTATTCTTCCTGCTTTCCCAAATGCCCGATCACCAATGTCAGGATAACTTCTTATAGTAGGATCAAAATCCATACATCTCTTTATTAACAAGGATGTGTAGAAGGTCACACATGCAATAACGAGTAGAAGTATCATGCTTAACCACCCTCCCGAAGATAGCGCATATGGAGTAGACAAAATTCCTACTCCTGAAAAGAGAAAGTTATACTAATAGGTTTAAGTTTCCAACAAAATACAAGTGTAAAAGTTGTTCTTGAAAACTAGTAATCAATGTATCGCACATAAAATCTCTTTCTCTTTTCCATGAAATTTCAGCAGATCACCATCACTCACATTTAATTGTCCCTCTACACTCATCATTAGAGAACACACCTTCTAGAAAAGACCACCATATTTGATTTGTTCATTTCATTTAGTGCAGCATTATGTATATGAAGTACAAGAAAGATCAGGTCTTATTCTGTCTCTCTTGCTATATGAAATGGTCTAAAAGTTCTGTTGATTCCGACACTCTAATTAAATTAAAAATGCGATTACGAGTACACTAATTAAATTACACTAAGAAAACATGGGAAATCTGATATTTAACAAACTACCACTACAACATTATGCATCTATAGCTACGAAATCTTAGCTACGAATTTAAAAATTGTAGCTAATACCTAATAGCAGCCACAAAAATAAGAATTCTATGGCTATTTACCAAATTATAAAATTTCTTAGCCACGGAAATTAAGTTGGGAAAGCTAATTCTTCATATTAGCTATAATGGATAACAATCGTGGCAATAGCTACCTAAATAGCTACAAGTAAAATTTTGTAGCTAATCATAAGTTTTTGCCATACACCAATAGTTATTGTAGCAAGAGTAACCTTTTAGCCACAATAAATTATTTAAAATAAAATATTATAGCTAAATGAATATTTTTGCTTCAAGTTCTAAAAAGTTGTGGCAGTAATTAGATGATATAGCCATAGTATAATTAAATTTCGTAGCTAATCATTAGTTTTTTTGCCAGGAGTTGAAACTTACTATAGCTATAGTAACCTTTTAGCCACAACAAAATATTTAAAATAAAATATTATAGCTAAATGAATATTTTTGCTTCAAGTTATATAAAATTGTGGCAGTATAGGTTAAATCAGCCACAAATTTCTTGCTATAATAAAATTTCGTAGCTAATCATTAATTTTTGTCATGAGTTGATACTTAATATAACAATAATAATCTTTTAGTCGCAATAA